TCGTAATATCAAACTCCATCATGCAGACTGCTTATAAATGATAAAAATAAAAAGTATTTCAGGAATCGACAAGATTGAACCCAACCCGGCAGCAAGAGTAAAGATTTGAGATACACGTTATATTCTGATATATCATTCAAATCCAAACAGCTCCTTCTCTCCCATACTAATGGTAAAACCGAAGTCATACATAAGGGAATTAAATCTTAGATATCAACGTAGAGCGCAAGTATATAAATTGGAATCTGTCCATTAAAGGCTATTCCAATGAAAGTACTTACGGAAATTGTACCCGTAAGATTAAGTGCTAGTTCTTCAAACTAGGATATAAATATGTTGTGATCAATCATTTTATGGTAGCTAGAATTGTAGCCTCATACCATATTCGTAGGCAATAAATTACAAATAACAACAGAAAGTAGCAAACTTGGTAAAATTACTCCGATCCAAAAGTATAGTCCAAAAGTAATAGGCAAAGAACAAATAAATACCCTTTCACTAGTAACTTTTTTTCATCTCAACACAAAACACCTAGGAGCTCATATTACCCTCTGAACTAACTAGACCAACAATGAAACTTCTTCAGATGCAAAATACAACCTTGAAGGCAACTCACCTGCTTAATCGTCTGAAAAAACGTGGGACCGAACGCAAAATTGCAAAATCCTAAAATCCGAACCTAATGCAAGAAAAAGCGCCAAAATTTGAACACCAAAGCAAGATCCAGAACTAGGGTTTGGGGGGTAAATCCCCAACTTTTGTATTGTGTTTGCTTTTCCCCCAACTTCAGAAGGCCGCTGCGGAGACGAAAATTGGGGTCTCTTGAACTAGGGTTTCCGATTCGAAATTAAGAAAAAGAGGGGTTTTTTAAAATAACGGAAAATGGGTTGAAGGTGGTTAGACGAGAAACTTGGGCATGCCGGGAAGAGAAATTTTGGAACTTTGAGGAAGAGGGTTGAAAGAGAAAGAGGGATTGCAGATATGAAGAAGAAGAAGAATTAGGGTGTGAAGCTTTGACTGAGATTTTGGGTGGTGATGACGACGATGATGCTTCTGTTGGTTGCTTCCTCTGATAGGAATAAAGGGTGAAGAGGAAGGGATCTACTAATTATTATTATTATTAAAATATTTGTTCTTAATTATTAATATCATTATTAATTATTAATATATTATCACGGTTTTTCTTGTGTGCTTTGTATTCCTTTTCATATCCTTCTGTTTTGATGTTATTACCGTTAGACTGTACATTGTTAGAGTGGTTTGACGAGGGCAAAATTGTCAGAAACTTTTAATGAGGTGTTAAATAAGGTTTCAATCACATAGATTTTGTGTTTATTTATGTTGTTTCTTTGTTTTGACATACATAAATTGCATACCCTGTCTTATTTTTTTAATTACTGAGGAGATTCTTGATAAGATTGAATCTATAAAAAAAATCATTTTATTGGATTTGTGTTAAAAAAATTAGATTTTATTATGGGTTTTAAGAATTGAAAGAAATAATAGAAAATTACTTAGACACTCTCTGAATAAGAATGATAGAAGGGTTGTGATTAATACACCCTTAAAGAAATAAAATCCACTATAAATAAGCACATTTCCAAACCATTAATATGGTATTTGATATTTGCTTTAAAATCGTTAATGTATTTAGTTTTCATCATTAAAATAATAAAAAGTTCAATTAGAAATATTATGTTATATTTATATTTTATTCCCCTTGGATATTATTTTGAGACTAATATTTTGGATATTTTTAATCTGAATTCATGGTATAACTGTAATCATTTAATTGTATGAGTTTTAAAAATTTTGCAAGTTAGTAGTTAAATTTGCTCCAAAAATAATTGTGGTTATTTTAAAAAAAAATTAACTTGTTAATTTTGTTGATTATGTATTGTTGTATGTTTCCATGTAATAAATTTTTAAAATAAAAAATAACTACGACTTATACACTAAAAGAAAGTTATTGATACTTAAAATAGTTTTTATAAATAAAATATTATAATTAGTTTGTGAATTAGAATTTAAATTTATCTCTGACATTAGCTAATAAAGTTTTATCTATCATATTTAATTAATGTATTATTCAACGTTAGAGATTAATTTAAAATTAATAATAAAAATTAAAAGTTTGGTAATTAATTTTAGAGACTAAAATAAAGTTTAATTGAAAAAAATTATAATTTTTTTTATTTATAACAGAGACATATCAATAAGTTTTACGTTATAAAATTATATATATGTTAGTCAATGGTTAATTATTTTTTATTATTATTTAATAATTTTTTTGTAATGTTTTCTTTATCATATTTAATTTTTATTTAAGATGTCCATTTTATTTTAAATATAATATTATATGATATTTTTATTTAATAGTTAAAAATTAACCTCTTAAAAATTTAAATTAATGATGGTAGTATCTATTTTTAAAATTTTCATTTTAATTTTAAATTAACTCTAATCCTAAATTAATAATATTTAATAATAATATGAATTCTAACAAAAATAAAATTATAATATTTATAAAAAATAAAATTTAATAAAAAATAAAATTATTTTATTTAAAAAAATAAGCCTGAATTAAATAAAATTAATAAATATAAGAATCAACTTAAATATAAAATATGAATATAAAATACTAAGATGACACTGCACTACCACGGTACTGGATTGGAACTTTTTTGTAAATTAAAAAATAAGAATAATAAAACTATGAGATTCAAAGCCTACTCTCTCCACTACTACTAAATAATATGCAAACATCATTAAGCTTAATTAGCTGATGATATACTCATTCTTAATAAAAATGTGCATAAGAAAAACAATAAATATATCTATTGTTGGTTAATAAGTTAAAAAAATAAAAATCTTTAAATCACCAAATATTCATAACAACTTACTATTAGACACATTTGTGGATAAATATTTAAGTTTGACATTCAATAAGATTGAAACTATTGATGGGTGGATAAATAATTATTTTTGTGTGTTTTCCTATTTAGTTGTATTAACTCTTCATAAAATACATTGGTGGAAGCTAAATACATAACCAATCTATTTTTATATTTCATTCTCTCACCTGCTATGTTTATTCCTCTTTAGAAAATTGGAATTTAACTATCTTGATCTTCAAAAATAGTAATGGGGACCCATTATCTTGCCTTTAATTAGTGTACATCTCATACTTCATTGATGCTAGATTTGTTAAGTAAATGAATTCATCAATAATTGTTTTACATTCTTCTTTCATTAAGAAATGAAACTATTTATACAAAACTATAATTTAAATAAAAATTATCTTACCAGCATTCTTTATTCTAATAATTATTATATATGGTTCATAACTCCAACTGAAAGCATGCATATTTAAAAATGTGATCATATAATATGTTCTTGGAGATAAAATGCACACAAGTTTCATTTAATCCTTTCAAACATCAACATATATGGATTATTGTTATTAAACATATATCAATATCTCTGTGTGAAAGTGCAAGGTGAAAGTGCAACTATATAACATATGACAATACTTAAGAGGTTTAAAAGTTTGAAAAAAAAAATACTCCATGAGATAGTTATTAACAATATTCATTGTCTAATACACTGACAACTTCAATCCCAACAATCAAATATAAATATTTCTATCTCTTGGATGTCATTATCCCTTTTCAACTTTTCAAGTACAATTATAGTTCTTAATTATATTCACAAAACTTTCATTTTATAATCTTATAATGTGTTTGGATAAATTTTAAAAGCATAATTCATTCTTTTAGAACATTTGAAATGCTTAGTAACAAAATATGTCATTTGGATGAGGAATTTTGAAAGAAAATGAAATTATAGAATTTTATTAGAGTAATTGTATTACTTAAAACTAAAGAAATTCAAATTTAAAATTTTTCGTATTCATAAATTTATACTTTGATTTTTGTAATTTTGACCAATAAGTTGATTCGACTAAACTTGAGTCATGATCCACTTAAGTTGATATGAACTCAAGTAAACTAGGTTTAACTATGACCTGAATTAACTTAATCAAATCTTACATAAGTGACATGGTTATGTTTTTCTCACATCTACCTCATGTAACATTTTATAAAAAAAATCTTACTTAACATAAATTGAAAAATAAATAAACTATAAACATAAAATAAAAAAATCTTAAAGAACTTTGTCAAAATAATAATATAAATTAAGATGAAAAAAAGGATAACTAATGTTGATATTTTTTTAATTTTTAACAATTATTTGATATTTAAATAATTTTTTTAAATTTGATGGTAATTAAAATACTTTATCTAAATAAAAAAATTAAAATTCACTAAATTTGAACTTCCCTTATCCAATCAAAATATTAAGTTTGAAATGAGATCCATTTATATTTAATGTATGTAAATATCTTATAAATTTGTTATACACGGTTAGTGTTATCCAATGTTGTCTTCTTGCCGTGCTACAACATCCACATTAAGACACACATTTCTTCTCCTTATCAAAGTGTCCTGTCTGTCCAAATTGAAAAATTGCCTATGTTTGTAACATGATAGAGAAATTGAATAATTTGGAGAAATATAAACTGCACTCATGTGAGAAATTAAGGATGGATTCTTAAACGTCTTCCCTTTTGTTTGGCACTGGAATTCAAATACCAAAGTTTTTAACTTAGAGCTAAAACATAGAATGGTCCTACTTTTTAAGTGTCTAATGAGAAAGATTGCAGAGGGATACTGTAAAGAGACAAACACAGCATCCAATCCACTACATTTTCTTGTGTATAAATACATAATATGGTTCTAAAGAATTGAGATTACATGTACATGTGTTAGTTTTTTTTTAAAAAAAAAGGAAAGAGAATTATCACCAACCAAAAAGCATTAAAAATGTATCAAGCAATGAATATTTGTTCACATGTTTTAGCTTCAAAAAAGCAGTTTGCAATTTCCTAATGGCACTGATGTCACAGTTTCATGTCTCTTTTTTCTTCATGTTTCTTCTTCCCTTGGAAACTTCAATAAGTTGAGTCACACTTCATTATTTCCAAACTTGTACATACAATATATAGATTTCGGAAGAAAAAAAATAATATACAAAGTAAGGATGATAATGATACCAAACACACCTTGCTAGTATGATCAACATATCAAACTCTACAACTAAATACCATTTGCCATTAGTGAGTGAAGTGAAGCACACACAAAATAAAAGTGTTAACTTTTGTCATTGTAAACAAGACAAGCATTGTCTGTACTTCAGCAAGAAGTCCTTGTAAGTGGCTTCTTCTCTACTTATTGTGACTTGTGGTCCCTAATTTATGTTCCTTACCATGTAAACACAGGAGAAGTCAGAAATGTTAAGCTGCCAAATATGCTTAGAAAATTCCTACAAACTCAAGTATTCTTTACTTCCCTTCCACTTTTCATAAAGGAATTTAAGAGGTGATAATGAACAAAAAGTAGTAAGCTGTCTATTACACATTTTTGGTGTTTTCTTTGTCCTTATATTCAAATTCAAGCTGAGAACAATCACCTTCTGAGCTTTTGCTTACACAGCTTAGTATTGTATCTTCCATCAGTTCTGCAAGAATGGCTTCTTCCATTTCAAAATCAATGGTTTCAGCTTCAAGTCTAAGGTCCATCCATGTTCCATTTTTATCCATGTCCTTTTTAATAATTTTGTCTAAGGTACGGGGTGGGGGCAAGGGAAGGAAATGCCAACACACTCCTTCCCATACTTTGAGAATAACCTTCATCATGTTTGGAGAAGGCCTTATGCCAGGTTTTATGAATGACACACAAGGTGAGAACCTGAAGTAATTCTGACAAACCTCCATGAGAACATTATTGACACAGTCATAAATGAGCTTCTGATCATGGCAAATCTGGTTTGGTAACTCTACCTCACCAAACAAGGAAGGATCTAGGATCTTGTCTGAGGAAAGGCATTCCATTGACAATTGATCTATAGTCAATCCAGAGGTTTGCAGAATTGCTTTGATGTAATCATATATCCATTCATTTTCTTTAAGACAATAGTTTTCTCTATTGATTTCATCCAAAGGTGAAGAGTATTGTTCTCCAAATTGCAGTGGTCGGACTGATACTTCAACTGAAAATTATGAATAAATGACTCGTGAGATTAAAACTAATATGGCAAAAAAAAAATGGTATGTTACATTGTTACATATTGTGCTGATTTGTCCCTTGATATGATTCTAACTTCTTTTTTATTTTCTCAAAGGACAATGATATACAATCGAAAAAATAAGTTCAAAACTATTAGTTTCTTCAGCAATTTCAAGATAAGCAAGATTTAGAGCTCCCCAGTAACTAGCATGCAACTCTTTATTTTGTTTTTGTGTTCTGCAAACAGTTAGAGGCAGCAAGAAGTAGAAACATTGGAAACAGGTTTTTGAATAAGTAGCTTTTAGAAAGAGATTTTAACTACTTAATATAGGCCTTTCATGGCTTTATTGCAAGAATGCTTACCAGGCTGAACTTCATCTTCAAAGAACGGTGTGTCAAGAACAGATATGGGACTTGGCCGCCCAGATGCATCTGTAACACTTTCTTTGGTGGTGGAATAGTGGGGTGGAGATAATAGAGGAGATGTTGGTTTGTGTTCTTTTTCTACACCCTGTGGAAAGAACAAATGAGAGAACTACACAGCTATACAAATCTTAACCAATCCTTCGTTGACAACACATCTGGCATAATAATCAAGTTATCCAAAATCATTGATTTATGTAAAACCAAAATGCAAACAGAAATATTACCTGCTTTGAACATTGAGAGCATTTTGCACAATCAGAAATTTCTGAGAGACCATAGTTTTGGTATTCCTTTCCTACACTGAGGTCAACTGGTTGTGAGGAAGATTCCAAAACATTCACCTCTTGTGCAGATTCTACATCACCTGCACAAAAATTAATAAAAGGATAAGCAGCCAAATATATAAAGGAACATAAACCAAAACTTATAAAATATATTTTGCACATGATACCTCCAGTAACTATCTGATCTCTATCAGGACAAAGTTTTTGTGTTTCATCAACATGGCCGCGGTCATTTGCAACATTTGAGTCTGTCTTAATTTCTTGAACTTTGTTATTAGAGATTTCGTCACAAATTATTGACTGCTCCTCTGAATTGTCTATTTCCTGATCCAAATGACCAACACAGGATTCTTGTTTGGGAGACACATTATCCTTATTACCCACCCAAATCTTATCTGAAGTGGAAAATATTTTCTGTGCAGTTACTGAATGATGCTCCCAATCCCTTCTAGGACTGCCAAAGGGAGAAAAGCTGTACTCAGGAAGAGATAGTATTTTCCCAAGGGTTCTAGAAATCTGCCTACTTGACAAGTCTATTTTCTCATCTCCATTACCAACAATTTCACACAAATGTTTCTTAGCCTCAATATATAAGTTAGAAACCCTTTGTTTTGGATGACTACCATTTTCATGTTCCATTGTCAATTCAAAATCTTTAGTTGTACTAGGCTTGTCTCCTTTCATAACACCAGTGGCAGGTCTTCCAATTTTTTCAATGAAAAAGTGATCTTTGTTAGGAGATCTCATTCCAACATTGTCTTTACCAATGACTTTGCTGCTAGGCCTCCTATTTTGACATTCGGCAGCAGGGTGTCTTTTTGAGATCCCTTCAGGGTTTCCATGTCTCTCCCTTCCCATAGCATGCTTTAATTTCTTTTTTATCTCTGTGAGAGAAAAATGTGAACTACCTCTCACAGAAGGACCATTGTATTTGACAACATCATAAGAATCTTGATAAGAGGCAAGGTTTTTTCCAGTTTCAGAATTTTGCCAGCCCATCTGCCCAGGCTTCAAAATAACAATACTTGATAAATTACTGTTCCCGTTCTCATTTGCTGAACTTTTTGAATGAGACTTCGTCTTTTTTCTGAAAAAGTTATGCTTCTTGTGGTTGACTAGATCCCCATTTTGTTTCAGGTTGCCATGATCTTGTTCGGAGAAGTTGGAACCAAGTACTGGACCATATTCTTTTTCATTTGTTCCCTGAGAATTCCTAAACTCTTGAACACATTTCAACAACAGCGAATTCGGATTTTGTAGAAGTGAAAGAAACAATTCCTTATCTGAACTTAGAAGCTCAATAGCTTCCACAAGTTGATGGGAACAAAGGAATTTTCTGGCTTCAGCCGGATCTTTGCCATTTAATACCATCTGATTCACAAATTCACAAATTGCTTCTTTTGCCTTTTCAGAAATAGCTTGCTTCTGGTTTGATTGTGCTTCAACTTCTACTTCTATATCATTGCCATGCATCATTGAACAAACATCTTTTAGATGACAAAACTCTGCAATCATCTTATCCAGATCAAGATTATCTTTAGATTGTTTCCTTGAGTGCTTATCATGTGTGATTTCAGATTTCAAGGTTGTATCTAAATTTAAATCATTGATGTCCTTATCACAGTTTTTCTTGTAAAATTTCTTTTTCCTTTTGGAATCTAACTTCAAGAGGACATCACGCCTTAATTTGGATTCCTTTGATTCTATTTGAGCACTATCTGTATCCTTCATTTTATTCCGGTCAATGAACATCTCTTCTTCAATGAGTTTCTTCACGCTAGGCTTATTAGCAGCAGTCACAATTGTTGGTCTTCTACTCTCTCCACTGTCCTGAAACATTCATGAAATAGTATGTCAGTAAATGCACAGGTATCCTCTTAGCAGATTACCATAATTTACTGATAACCAAAATTTTTGTAAACTTTTCAAATTCAAGAGTGGCTGAAGCATGGACAAACTTACCGAACTGGTTTGATAAACTTCATCCAAATTGCTATTCTCGAACTTAGTCTTAGAATTTATGGCCCCTGAGAGGAAAAAAAATGAAATTCAATAACTAATATTATTTTTTTCTGTTAAACCATGATGTTGTACATCAAATTATTCCACAATCACTACAGATATTAGACAGGAAAAACATCTGTTATGATTATGAAATATTTCAACTTGACACCACTACAGAAAATTGCTTGACATTCAAATATCAGTCCCTGCACAATTCCTCAGTACATACTGATCTTGCTATTTATTTAGCATATAAAATGTCTTTAGTGAATATATCATATACATATTTATGAACGTGACATGAGCATGATATTCAATTTTGTACCAACTTAAGCGCAGTTCTTACCAACAGCATGTTTGCTGCTTCGCCTCTTGTCTGCAATCATCTTCCTAGTAGAATGACCATGTCGAAAATCAAACATACTAATAAAACTCCACATGCAGCCTGATTTATCTTTCTCAAACCGCACATGGCGTCTTTGGGACTTCTTTGCCATGATGATTGGGCAGAATGGTGTTCCTTGATTCCTCTTTTCCTTTCCCTTGAAGGGTGTTAAGATAGTCTTGGCCTCAAGTAGCCACAGTCATTCAAAAAATTTCATAGGTAAGATTGTCCAACCTGACAGCAACAAAGTAAACAGATGCATTTAAAAGCCAACAAAATATCTATCATTATTCCCTAATGACCCCAAAACCACAGAGTTCACATAACAACACCCTAACAATGTGATAAATGGTGCATTAGATATATAACCTATTCATGCCAACACTTTTTGTCAAATCAACTCATGCAGATAACCTAGTTACATGCTGAGAGAAATTAAACTTAGCCACACAGTGATCATCAAAACAACCAATCCCTGGGGCACAAAAGAAAAAACTGAAGAGTCATACGAAAATGAAATTTAATGGCTAACGAGTTAGGAAATGTAAGGGCAAAAAAATTGGTAGGTTAAGCAACTAGAGCAGTTACTAGTCTGTGTCATGTAGCAAGAATTGAATAATCACATGAACAATGAGATCGGTTCAGACAAGTACCTCATATTCTGAGCCTTGTTGACTCAATATGGTGAAGGAGCAAAAGACAAAGATACAGCCAGATGAGTCCACTGAGGAAGCATTTGGGAATCCCTATTTCAGTTCTCCAAGTTTCTCATTTGAGTGAAGTTCACGAAGTTTTAGCTTCCTTTGGAGGAGAAGGTATCAATGCTCTGTCTCACAGACCTTTAACAATCTGAATTCTGAAGTTCCACAGAGAAAGCTTAAAACCCCAGTTAATTGTTTCTCTCCACAAAGAAAAGGCCAGTTGAGATAACTTACAAGGCTTCAGCTTTTACAATTGACAACGAGTCAAAGAATCACAGCACATTGATTCTGCTTTCCTCCAATAAAAAACATAGTCAAGGATCAAACGTGATGAAGAAGTTTGATAATTAATCATACCACACCAAAACCTTCAGGCACACACCAAAAAAAAAATATAGCATATCCTTAAACACCAAAAATCACAAATTCCGCACAAGACTCATTACTTCTGCACAACTGAATCCATGCCTGCAATAAATGGCCCATTTATCTCCTCCAACAGTTTATCTACTCAAATAACAGTCTGTGGAGCATACCTTACCCACCTCTAACATAAAACACCTCCACACAATTCTCCCTAGAAACTTCCACCAAAAGAAGTGTCAAAACTCAACTCAAGTCAATCTCAATCCCACCAACAACTCATTCCCTCAAAAGAACCAGACTGAAAATTGTTCATCAGACACCACACTCTCTGGGAGGAATAACACCATTTGGCAGCAAATTTTCCCACCAAAAAAATCAAACTTTTGCTAATGGGCATCTCCTTTTTGCTGTCAAAGAGAAGAAAATGATAATCTTGCACCGACCCAGGATCTGCCGAGGCATAATTCTGATGTGGGGGGCATTGAATACATGGAAAAAGTGGAAGAAAGAAAGGAAGAAAAGAAACAACGGAGAGAGAATTGGTGGTGAAGGTTAGGATTGTGGGAGAAAAGTGAAAGTTGAGAGTCTTACGCTTTACACTGTTGTTGGGCGACACGAAGAATGGTCATAGTACATGACAGTTGAGGATAGCTAGATAGAGGGGTCCACGCAAGAGTTTTTGTTGTTAAGGAAGAAAAAGTTACAGTGATTCTGTAGCCATTTTTCTTCTCAAGTCTTTCAAATTTTGGATTTCGAACACCATGATCCAACTCACACCAAACTGCAAATGCAAAATCGAATTCAGAGAGAGAGAATAACGAAGATGAAACTAAGAGAATTAACGTGTACTCCACTTATGAACAGAGACTTCACCTTTTTGGCTTTAAGAAATGGTGTTGTTATGCAAATCACATAGGAAAAAGATTTAATAACAGTTACATGTAATCATGTCATATCATGGGTTCATATATTATTTATATTTTGCAGAATTTGTAAATAAAATAACCATTTTTTTTTCAAATGGTAATGATTTGTATGATAATTATGTCCGGTTTACAATATATTAATAACTTAGTCCATAAATTTTACCGCTTAATATTATCATATTGACTTTTAAAAGAATTCAACTTAATATTAGATTAATTCTTAAACATTTCAGTTCTATAAAAACTATCTTGCAAACTTTAATATAATGATATAATTGTTACATTTTGTATAACGTTTTGGAGTTTTCAGCTGTAATGCTATCTCGAAAAAAAGAGGAAAAAAATAAAAATAAACTACAAGGTTCTTTCTTACTGTAAGTGTCCAGTTTATGGATTGGTATTTCAAAGAATAATAAATATGGAATTGACCTAAAATACATGTAAATATTTTTACGTCTATTTTTTATGACGATGATTTTAAAATCTCTGTTTGAGATGATTTTTGATTAATTGATAGTATAAAATTATTTACTTTAACCGTGCATAAAAATTACACCAATATATATAAATTTACGACAACACATTTTTAATAAAATCTGGTTAGTAAAAATAAATATTAGTTTTCATTTAAGTTTATGCAGTTTTTTTTTAAAAAAAAAAGTGTTATATTTATGCATGATTACAAAATATGGAATATCAGTTTCAACGTCGTATTGCATACACAGAGATGTTGTGTATGTCCTATATTTCTAACCAAGGAATAGAATATTTCATATATTAAGACAGTATTAAGCTTAATGAGTAAGATTTTGCAGATGGTTTTTTATTAATTAATAATATAGTTTTTATATTTAGACCTTTAACTTATTTTGATTTTTATATTTTATTTTTTATTTAATTGAACTTATATTAAAAAAGAAAATCAATGTAACATTTTTTATTACAGGTTGTTGAAATGTTTGAAATATGTCACGTTTTGACATATGATATTTTTAAGTAGAAGATTATACTTTTTTCGTGTGACACTTTTTAAATAGTTTTAAGATTAATTTAAGAGAAGACATGGCATTATATTTTTTTAATAAAAATTAAGATTCGAATATATATATATATATATATATATATATATATATATAATTATATAATTACCCTTATAACCACAATTTCATATACATGGCTGACAGAATATTAAATACTTTAACCACTTTTAATGCACAATACTTTTAACATATTTAATATATAATTATCCATACATATTAGATTTAAATCGAATAATCTATTACTTGAAATATATATACTTTTAAAAATTATTTATTACATACACGCATAAATACATTTTCTTATGTTTATATATACGTAATGTAACGTGTAACCTCCCAGATTATATAAAACTATATAATTTAGTAGTTTACATTTTAATATAATAGAATAGTTAGAAGAAGATTTATAGATAAAGTCTTAAAGTTACAGTCATCCCAAAATAGTTGTAATTTAAAACCTTAACACATTAGAGTATTTCAAAATCAACATAAGCCTCCCTAACTAGGCTAAGCAGCGGTGTCATCTCCCTCCAAGACCTGCTCCAGAAGCACCTCATCTACCTCTGCTCACATCCAAATGGATGATCATTGCAACAGAAAACACACACAAACAAAAGACAAACACAAGCAGAAGGGTGAGCTAGATATACAAAAATTATGTTATAACAATCACACCCAACATATAAGTTTAATTCATATATATTGGGTCACTTAACACAACTTGTTACACTTTAAACTTGACTCGTCCGGACTTAGAATGATTGTCGAGCTATGACGGGTCATGCACTCGTGGTGGCCTCTACTGCTTTGCAAAGCCATTGCCAATGGATTTCACCCTACCACACTCACGAGGTTAGTCTGTTATCATTCACCTTGGCCATACTGGAAGCACCCAAGACAAGGACCTCCTGCTACTACTCACGACATGGTGCAATCCTCTCTACTTGAGAATGATTGACCATTGTAGTTTCAGGATAACCCCCAAGACTGAGCTTCCATGCAAATCGTTCTAAAACACACCAAGGGCACCACCATGGATCTTCTCCTTGATTACGTCCAATAACATAGGGCACCACCATGTAACCTCCCCTTAAGATCCATGGTATTACGTCCATCAACCATACTCAACATCAATTATCACCACTTGAGGACCCCAAACCCAATTCTAACACTTTGCACTTATTTGGACCACTTTGGTGACTCAAACAAGTCACAATATACTTGTTAAGACTGCGCCAACTGACCACAATAGCCCCTGACCTCTAACTCTCAAAATCACTACCTCACTTCCTCTATAATAACCTACAACACTACCAATCCTTTTTACTTTCAACATAACAGCTGCTATCTCGGAATATACCCATCTAACATCCTCAATTGCAGTTACACAACATGTTTAAATCAATTCACAAGCATCAGTTCACAGATTCACAGATGAACATACCAATACATATAATTTCATCTACTCAGAACTTAACATACAACCCAAACAGCAGAATTAATACATAACTCAGTATATACATATACATGCAACTAATTATAAAGAGGTATTTTAGCTCCCCTTACCTTGGAGTTGAACAACCCAGCTCACAACACCGCTTCCACAGTACCCTACTCGGCGAAGAACCTAAATAGTGCCCTACAACCACGAAACGGTGATGAAAACAACTCTTAGAGCTAGGATTGAGTGGAAAATGATAACAAGGAAAGCACAAGACACATGCAACCAACAAAGATTTCATGTGCTAGGTTTTAGAACGGAGAAGAAACTGCATGTAAGGACTTACCAACCTAGGACCCAAAATGAATCGGTCTGTTGTGAAGCCCTCTATGTTGCAGATGTTTGGGCGCCACCTGATCAGAAATCCACTGGCTCAGTGAAGAGAAATGGTAGAGAGAAGGCAGAGGTGTGGTAGAGAGAATGTAGAGAAAATCTGAAAACTGAATTTTTAGAGAGATAGAATGCTCAAGCTAATGGACCAGGATGTTTGAAAAACCTATTTAAAGTCTGGTTTCATTAACTTAATACACCTTTTTGCTCTTTTAACTCTATTTTTCAAGTCTCACATAATGTCAAATATACTTTATTAAAAATATTAAATGTCGAATATAAAATTATGGAAAAGTAAAATATGTTTTGTACCTTATAATATAAGTATTTGATTTTTGTGTGAAAGTTTTTTCTAGTCACACTATCATAGAAGTAAATCAGTCCTTGATAATGTGAATTGATTAAATCTTGTGACAAAGCACAAAAAAATTATGTAGTATTATGATAAGGATGACTAATTTCTTTTAAAATAAGCACTTTTAAAAATCATGTTGTGATTTATTCGGTTTCTAATAAATCATTGTAACTAATGTTAATAAGAAATAATACTATGCAAATGATTAGGTCACATAAATTATACATGTATTTTTTAAATTGGACAAATAAGTTATTATTAAACTGGTCAAAGCTCTCTTTAATATTCAATTATTAACTGGGTATTTATATTAAAAGTTTCTATTGAAAAAAATAATATAAAGAAACATTATATTATTATATTGTATAGCAAACGATTAAGATTCACTATTAATTTTCTTACCAGTTTTTAATATTTAGAATACATATAAAATTCACGGTCTCATATTGTTAATTAGTATCATTATTACTATCATTAAAATTAAATATATTTTTAATTCTTTTATTGTTTGATGTAAAATTGGATTTTGATTGTTTTACATTGTAACATGTTTATTCATATAACATATACACATGACAACACATGTACACACAAATGATAATGACAATACTATTTTTTACATTTAACAAATCTTTAACATCAATTATTCATAAATATAAATATAAAGATGATAAAAATAATTCAAAGTTTAAAATAAAGAAAACATTCAATTTAGTTAAAAAGTTATAAGAAATTAAAAATACATTTTGTAACATCTCAATATATACCGTGTAAACTATAATAAAGAGAAGCGACATGCATGATAAAGTAGTACAGTTATCCATCTAAAACATAAAGTGATATCTTTACAGTCATCTAAAAATAACTATAAATTTAAAACTTTATATACAGATTGAAAATTATTCCAAAACTATACACAAGGCTCTAAAGAACAAAAGCAACTGCTCAGCAACATCATCACCTCCATCCAATGCTTGCTCCAAATAGACCTCTTCTTCTGCTGCTCACATCCAAAGGATGGTCATCGCAGAAGAAGAATAGCAGAACATACAAAACATAAGCACACAACAGGGTAAGCTAGTTTAAACAGAATTAATCATACAACAATTTATTTAACTTCATACAAGCATATCATTCATTCTCATCATTTAAACTCTTCATACATAACACACACTAACTCAAACTGCCCAGACTTAGAATGATTGTCGAGCTATGACGGGTCATGCACTCGTGGTGGCTTCTACTGCTTTGCAAAGTCGTTGCCAATGGGTTTCACCCTACCACACTCACGAGGTTAGTCCGTTATCACTCACCTTGGGTCATACGAGAAGCACCCAAGACTAGAACCTCCTGCTACTCCTCACGACATGGATCAATCCTCTCTACTTGAGAATGAAAGACCATTGGAGTTTCAGGATAACCCCCAAGACTAAGCTCATGCATCCATTCTAAACTTACTTGAATCTCAACTAGAGATTCCACTTTGAATCACAACATAGGGCACCACCATGTCTCATCTCCTTGAGGATCATGGAATTACGTCCATTAACCACACTTGAACTTTACACTTTTGATTACAACATACCACAATCACCACAGATATTACATGATACAACTTAAACTTGCTTCATACAACACTCATTGATTCATATCAAACAACATAAGAATACACAAGACATGAACTAGAACGTACCTTTCGCATAGCGCACAC